AACTTCTGGGTTGGATCTTATGTCGTCTTCATTTGACCAGTTTTTACCCCGTCCCCCCCCCCCGTCACAAATCTCAGACCCCACCCCACCTCTCCAAAGTACGGTTTCGAATTAAGAAGCTCTTTAAAAATAAAATACATTTACAAATTTAATCTAGAACAAACGATGGTAGTGAAATCTTCTGTAAGGATACATTTATCACAGCAGAAAGTTTAACTTTATTGTAAATTTCAGGTTTTATTTGTATGATTAAAAATTGTGACGTCACACAATATCTTTTTTAACCGCCCCCTCCCACCCACCACCGTGTCCCACTCACAGTGTCCTTGAACTACGTCCGCTCTCCTGGGCGTGACCTATGTTATTATGGTTTTATGGACGGCCAAAAGATGTTTTTTTTTTTTTTAAACGTATACCTAAGTTGGTTCACCAGTGCCCTTAAGGTAACCCCAGCACCTTTAAGGTAACCCCAGCACCCTTAAGGTAACCCCAGCACCTTTAAATTCCACCGGAACTTTTATTGTCCGCATGGGTAGCCCCACCCCCTGCTGGCGGTACCGCTCACTCTGAGAACCACTGGCTGAGGCGATATGGGGACGTGCATTAATGCATCAACAAAATAAAGGGATGGTGGGAAACGTTTGACAACTGTTGACAAGGGGCGGGGGAACCAAAATAAATTGACGACGACCAATGATACGTAAGAAATTACAGTCTGCTCCTTAACAAAAAACAAAACATAGAATGCTGCCCACTCAAGTGACCGCCAAAAGACATAGAGAGTTGAATGCAATTCTCACACAAAAAGAAAATTCCGATATTTTAAGAACTAGACTAGACAAGGACGATGTCAGCATGTTACATAATAATATGACTATGACAATAATAAAATCAGTTTCAAGGCACACGATGCGCTATTGCTAAATAACATTCTCCTTAATCAACTTTGCATAAAAGAGTAGCATTTCCCCATTCAACATTGCAAAAAGAGTAGCATTTCCCCATTCAACATTGCAAAAAGAGTAGCATTTCCCCATTCAACATTGCAAAAAGAGTAGCATTTCCCATTCAACATTGCAAAAAGAGTAGCATTTCCCCATTCAACATTGCAAAAAGAGTAGCATTTCCCCATTCAACATTGCAAAAAAAGTAGCATTTCCCATTCAACATTGCAAAAAGAGTAGCATTTCCCCATTCAACATTGCAAAAAGAGTAGCATTTCACCATTCAACATTGCAAAAAGAGTAGCATTTTCCCATTCAACATTGCAAAATGAGTAGCATTTCCCCATTCAACATTGCAAAAAGAGTAGCATTTCCCCATTCAACATTGCAAAAAAAGTAGCATTTCCCATTCAACATTGCAAAAAGAGTAGCATTTCCCCATTCAACATTGCAAAAAGAGTAGCATTTCACCATTCAACATTGCAAAAAGAGTAGCATTTTCCCATTCAACATTGCAAAAAGAGTAGCATTTCCCCATTCAACATTGTAAAAAGAGTAGCATTTCCCCATTCAACATTGCAAAAAAAGTAGCATTTCCCATTCAACATTGCAAAAAGAGTAGCATTTCCCCATTCAACATTGCAAAAAGAGTAGCATTTCACCATTCAACTTTGCAAAAAGAGTAGCATTTTCCCATTCAACATTGCAAAAAGAGTAGCATTTCCCCATTCAACATTGCAAAAAGAGTAGCATTTCCCCATTCAACATTGCAAAAAGAGTACTATTTCCCCATTCAACATTGCAAAAAGAGTAGCATTTCCCCATTCAACATTGCAAAAAGAGTAGCATTTCCCCATTCAACATTGCAAAAAGAGTAACATTTCCCCATTCAACATTGCAAAAAGAGTAACATTTGCCTCATCAACTTAAAGATGAAAACAATTGACAACGGAGAGAGTGCAAAAGTGCATAAAAATTGCTGATATAATTAATGGAGTTCCTACTATAAAGTTTGTTCAACATATTGTTTGCCTGTAACAAGTAACAGCCACGCGATGCCCTGTGCTGGAGCCAAACAGTACCAAAACTTATTCCCGCAGGCGAGAAAGTGGCTTTGTGGTCTCTTAAAAATAGATTTCTACTTCCACTAACGATCATATAAAAGTATGTCAAAATAATGTAGTACCTTGTATGCAGTTAAATGCTTTGGCAAACCGAAAACCGTTTTTTGACCTGATTTATCAAACCGAAAACCGGTTTGTCAACAAGCAAAAAACAACACACACAAAAAAACGGTATTAACATTCAAAGCCCACTGACGGATCAACAGTTGGGGGGCGTGGGTTGGGGGGAGGGGGAGGGGGGGAGTGGTCGAATTAAGTGGGCATCGCGCCAAAAGAATGTGTGTCGTCAAGAATCCCAGAACCTCACTCAACTCCATCGTACAGCTTTAAAACGTCACCCCACTTGCTAACTTTTTGCCCCAGTCCTGTCCTCCTTTCCTTTCCTGTATCTCTTCTTCTAGACGCCCCTTTCTCTCTCTCTCTCTCCCTCCCTCCACGTCTATCGCTCACTCCATAATCCTGACGTACTATAACTGTGCCGGCGGTGACATGAGCAGCGCAGCCCTAAAACTTTTCCTCCCGCTATCTCCCCGCCAGCCCAGCGAGCAGATCTTTGTGCCGTCTACAGATCGCGACAAATGACAGCGCCCACTGCAAATCACCGCCCCTGGAGACGTTCTAAAGACGGTCCTCGACGTCGTTATGAATAAATGAATGGAATCTCCTGAGGGGACGACAACGATCATAGCGGGGTGCAAACTACGCGCGCCAAATTACGGCCTGGCTTCGGAATAGGGGCGGGAAGCAATTCTGCACTTGAAAGGACCAAAGAAAGTAGAGGACGTGTTTTCATCTGGGCAGAGGGAGTCGTAAGGAAGCGGCAAATATATAAATATTAATGGTGTTTTCTGTTTGTGAGGGTAGTGGTGAGGGTAGTGATGAGGGTAGTGGAGAGGGTAGTGGAGAGGGTAGGGGTGGGAATATGGGTGGAATTTAGATATTTTAAGGAAGGGATAGAAAGTGCGATAACTGAAAGCTAACGATAAAGTGTGGATATGTGGATGATGTAAATATATATAATGTGTGGATTTAGTGAAGTTATTGTGATACATTGGATCCAGGGAGGATGTCGAAATTGTACGATGGATATGGAGATGCTTCCAAAATAAGATACTGGATCTAGGGATGATGTCATTAATTTGTTATAGGATAGTACTTTGAAGCACTATAATAAATTAGACCTGAACCATTCGAAATCTATAAACAGTTTTCAACAGCGTCCCTCCAAGTGGAAGAGAACAGTGGCTGAGGCCCCAGGCCTTAAAATGATGCTAATACTCAGGCTATTTTTCTTGACAATAAAATGAGGCTCTCATCAATAGGATGCAGGGGACACTCTATTTCTGGGTGTACATCATTTTTTTTTTTTAAGGATTAAATTAAGAAGATTTTGAAAACAATGCTGAAACTGAGAATTGTTGTATATCGTAGGTCCTATGTTCTATGTCTTAGGTCTCCTATGTCCTTGGTCCTATTCCCTAGGTCATATGCCCTAGGTCAGCGGTTCTCAACCAGTGGGTCGCGACCCCTTTGGGGCTAGAATGACCCTTTCAGAGGGGTCGCCTAAGACCATCGGAAAACACATATACCCAACAGTTACGAAGCAGCAAACAATAAAAATTTTGTGGTTAGGGGTCGCCACAAAATGAGGCTCTGTGTTAAAGGGTCACGGCATTAGAAAGGTTAAGAACCCCTGCCCTAGGTCCTAGACTTACACAGTTACTGTTGACAGAATAATCGAGCAACTCAAATGGGGATTCAAAGAATTAATGAAGTTGTAATGAAAACCCGATAGATGAAGAAGTGATGATCCAAATATAACATTTCCTTGGTGCTGGGTTCAGATTTTTTTCAACTGGCTCAGATTCAGTGGATATGTTATGTTTTGGGTGCTATAGTTGTGTTACAGTTAGCTTGAGACCAGTGGTTCCCAAAAATTTTTCTGCCTATTTTGACATAATTGTTTAATTCCTATTGTGTCTGGGTAACGAACATGCACAGAGCATCAGACATTGTTACAAAGCAGCACCCAACAATTCCTTTTTTTATATGTTTGGGAGTTTCCCTTCAAATTTAAAATGAGATTTTTTTTTAATGCAAATGAAATAATCCTGACCACCACTTTCAAGTCAAATCTCTACATCAGGGGTCTGCACCCTTCTGCCAAGCCTCGGCACACTTAATAAATTAAAATTAGCTGACATCTGGCTTGGTAAGTTACAGAGATAAACAAAAGTATTCCTTACACGCACCCACCGCCTTAACCACCACCTCATCCACCACCTCACCCACACCCACCACCTCACCCGCACCCACCGCCTCACCTTCCGCCTCATCCACCACCTCACCCGCACCCACGCCTCACCTTCCGCCTTATCCACCACCTCACCCGCACCCACCGCCTCACTCGCACCCGCCGCCTCACCCGCACCCACCACCTCACCCGCACCCACAGCCTCGCCCGCACCCACCACCTCACCGCCATGCTTCTCATGTTTTCATGTAAACCCACAAGACAATGACATGTTTTAACTGTCTCTAAACTTTTTTATTCAAACATATAGATTTTTTATTTAAACTTTTTAAATAAATAGGTGCGCAGTACCACATAAAAACCACTAAAAACATTTTTTTTTGCGATACTTCCACAGAATTTTTTGTGTGCTTAAGATACATTGACATAATACATTTTATTTGCTTAATTAAGCACGGGTAACAAGGAAAATGTGCCCACATGTTTCCGGTGGGAAAGCCCAAGCTGCCCCTCAATATGGATGCCCCCGAAAATTTGGGCAACCCCCACATAAGTAATTCACCCCTTGGCCAACAAATGTTCAAATATTTCCACAATATCACTTTGCTGACCCATGGTCTACATTTCACAATTCGGATATCTCTTGTTAGACGAGGTCAAACATTGTATTTCACACGCCTACTGATCATACTGTAAACTAATCTTTACCTGAATGTCCAGCATGTTAATCCTCTCAGACAGTCTGTCATTCTCCAATTGGAGTCTTGTCACTTTTTCTGTCAGCTCCACTTTTCTGAAACATGAAACACATTCCTTACAACTTCCTGTCATGTCAAACTCAATAGTTAATATGGCCATTAGCCAGAAACAAAATTAACCCATACGACTATTATGTAAGATATCAAACAGAAACCTTACTTAGAGAGTACGTTGCTAATTTCCTCAGCCTGTTTAGTAACGATGTCCTGGAGCTCTTCAATGCGATCATCTTTCACTTGAATAATCTCCAAAACCTTACGATCCTTGTTTTCAGATTTTTCTTTCTCTCTGTGAATAAATTAAATATTCATCTGAAACATTTAAAATTAGGAGGAAATGCAATTAGGGGCCATCCATAAATGACGTCACGCCAATTTTGCCCCCTTCCCCCCATCGTCACAAATCGTCACAAAAAGTTAGACCCCCCCCCCCCTCAAATATCACGTCACAAATCTCTGCACAAATTTCTGCACCCACCCGGCCCTGTGTCCACTACTGTCCTTTACAAACCCTTAAAAAATTTGCTTCCCATGGATATCAAATTACTGCACCTGTGTCAGAAACATTTCACTATATTAGTGGTTCTTAACCAGGGGTACAAGTACCTCCCCAGCCTTGACTTGTGGAAGACCAAAAAATTGTATTCAGTTGTGTAGCTAGGGAGGTGCGGACACCATCTTAGGGGGTGACACCTAAATGAAAGATAGCGTAATTACAGAGCACAGACTAATCGGTCTAACCGAAATTCATAAAAGGATAACAGATGACATGTGCATTTTCCACACATGTAACCAATCAAAATGCGTGTTTCGTTAATATTAAAATTTCAAGGTTGACGCGTCAGCAATTAGGTTACCTTATTTTTAGGTCAGAAACACACCGTTTTGACCATGTTTCATCGCCGAATGAAGTGTTCTGTAACTTTTGTAAGTGGCAGGAAGTTATTTTTATCTAAATTCTAAGAAATACAACTATCCTTTGATAACAATGGGCGATTCTAAGAATGTTACAGTTCTTAAATACATTTACCCCCTGACCTTCAATTAATTTGATGTTGTTCTTGTATTTCTTATACTGTGGACTAAGTTTAACAAAAAGAAATGCATCGTTTAAAAGGGGGGGGGGGGGGTAACACCAAGAGCTTACTGGACCATGTTGTTCTTGTATTTCTTATACTGTGGACTAAGTTTAACAAAAAGAAATGCATCGTTTAAAAGGGGGGGGGGGTAACACCACGAGCTTACTGGACCGGGTGACACCAACCCTAGCTACGCCACTGATTCTATTTGCTGCAATTGCAAGTTGTTGCTGCTTTAAAAGAAAAAAAAAAAGAAATTTAGCGATTTTGATTAGCACCAGTCAATGGTGAATTTCATTGGCGCATTGTGTGTATTGGTAATTTTTTTCCCCTGTTTATAAAAAGTTAATGAAAGAAATAAACCTAGGATAACTAAATTATTTAATTAATTTTAATTTTATTACAATGTAATTTAAACAGTTGGGGGAGGGATGTTTAAAACAGAGTGGGCCTGCAACGCTGCAAAAAAGGTTAAGAGTCCCTGCCCTAGAGCATTTACTTAGATACCCCCACCCCGGTGTAAACCTGTTTTTTCTCGCTTCATCCCACTTCCGGTGTCCAGATTTAGCCATAAATTCTCACGATCGTCATTGTAACTACATTCCGATTCTCCTACTACTGGGTGTCCTGTAACTTGATCAGAGACCATTCTTCGGACCTCGCATCCCTACTGTACTGATTCTCTCAGTGGTAGTAGTTTTAAATAAAATAATTATAATTATTTAGTTTTTTTAAATAATGTTAAAAATTTCTGTAATTTAGTGTTATGAAGTGAAATTCTTTACTACAACATTCTGCTTTTCATGTGACTTCACATGGCTTGAGGCCTGCCCCCTCACCCTCGTCACAAAAATCTGACCACCCCCCCCCCCGCCGCATGACGTCATTTATGGCTGGCCCCTTCCCCGGCTCACCAATTCATTTTTAATTCCATACTCCATTTCCTTGACCAAACCACTGACCACTTTCCCCCTTTATCCCTTCACTTTGCATCTTCTTCTATTGTCCTTCCATAAATAAATTACCTTTTACCCATGTAACTATTTTTTTTACTGCATTTCTACAAATACAACACAAAGACTGTGAATCAAGTTATTTACTATTCTAACTATCTTACCTTTGTGTGACTAGAGCAACAGCCTCTGTGACATCTGGATTTGACACTTGCAGTTTTTTCCACAGTGACCACACGAACTCTTTATCAGCCTAAAGGAAAATGGATAAAAGTCACTATAGGGAATAAGACAGCCCAAAACATGTGACCCCATTAAAACCCTCGGGATGGGGCTCTTAACATCAGACACTATGTTTCAGCTTGCATTATGGTGCATACTAGATGAAGGTGTTTCCCCAGTCTACAAGCAATACAATTCCCTTAAATGTAGATGCATTTGTAAATAATGTTCATTAAAACGGTGTAATACTTATTAATAATTCTCTATCTCATTATCTGTTTCTAAAAACATTCTTCTCAAGTTTTGTTCTTGAGATTTTTCTTTGTTTTTTAATTTACTAAGCTTTGAAAATACACTTGTCAAAAAATGGATTCGGTGACAGTTCCAATGGTTACGTCTCAAAATTGAAAGCTTCCCATTGGTGACAGAGTTATAATTTTCTTTAAATAGACCAATCCACATTGTTCACAATGTCAATAGATTAGAAAAAGCCAATGAGAACATATAACTGAGGTCAAAATGTTTAAAATGCATTTAAGTTATTGATCACATGTCTAACCTGGCATTGGGCAAGTTCTGATGCTAATGTTTGGTTCTGCGTTACCAGAAGGCTAACGTCAGGGTCTGAAATGATTAAATAGAAATTTTTTGGTTATTGACCTCAAATGTATGTAAAGTCAACAGAGCTAGGCATATGAAACCATTTATAAAAAAAATTAATTAATCTGTAGTATAATGCTAGCACACCATTTTTTTTCAAGTGTTCACACTAGCAAATTTAGGAACAATGTTTTTTGGAATTTGTTATTTTTTAAATTTCTTAATGTCTACTTGCATTTGAAAAATAACTAAATAAATCAAAAGAAAATAAAAGCCTTAAAAAGTTATTAGATTAAGCGTGTTTGTCACTTATTAAAAAATTATAATCTTTCTTTGAAAGATTGCAACATAACTAACATTTCCTGTTATTTTTTAAGGCGATGCACTATTTTATGTGAACTTTTTATTCATTGTGCACATTATTGCACAGAAAAAAAAGAAACAAGGGCTATCGATTGTCTTAGGGGCTATGGATTGTCTTAGGGCCAATCCATAAATGACATCCATCCATCCACTTTTATGGCTTCCTTGGCACTAGCCGCAATGTTGTCAACGCCATTGTTTGCATTCGCTGCCATTGGGGAGACAGGGCGCCGACTCTCTGACAGGTGTAATGAACACCTCCGTAATATTACGCAAGATAAACAGTCTCCAAATACTTCAATAGAAGCGACCACCGGGGCAAGGCGGACTTTTCAATATGTGCTAATCGTGGCTAGCACAAACACACCAAGCCGGGTGAATTTGGAACACAAGCTTATACAGACCTATGGCACATTGACACTCCATGGTATGAACATCATGTTTCTATTCACAGCTTGAGCCTAGCTCTGCCACTCCACGTCATGACCTATCGCAGTGGACTTACTTCTCATCTATTCTTTTCCTCTTCTCTATTTAATCTCTCACCCACCTACTTTCTGTCACAAATCATTTGTTGCCTTCTTGGATACTACTTCTCAGCTAAGTGCCATTTTTTAATTTTATTCTGTTTTTTCTGTTTGTTCGCTGATGAAGGCTTTCTGCCGAAAAGTTCATTGTTTTGTTTCGTTCCTTTTTTCAGGTTTAACCACTTTTTTTTTTTTTACTAATTTCCTATTGTGATTACCTGATTGCAGTCTCTCCCCTTTTAACCCTTGAACTGCACAGGTTGCCAAAACCAAGTTTTAGATGCTACTGAACCCAAACCGAAACCCTGCTGTGACCAAACTGAAACCCTGTTAATGACCAAACCCAAACTGAAGCAGGCTGATGACTGAACTGAACCCTGCTGATGACTGAACCCTGCTGACATCCAAACCTAATCAAACTTCTAAAAGTGGGTTTGATTACCATCTCTACCATAGATGTCTGACATAATTTATGAATGACCCCATACTATATTAGTAACTTAAGATTTTCATGGATAACTTTAGTAACAAAATAATTCTAATTTTTACTATACATGGAAAAAAAATTGATTTTTTAAAATATTTTATGAGTGCACTCTAAACTTTTGAATGAGCTGGCTTTATTTGTTGTGCAAGTGCAACTCTGAGGGTCCAGTGAGCTTCAGCTAAATTTACAGTGTCATTCAATACATGTTTTGTTTGTTTTTAAAGGAAAGAAAATGCCATGAACCTAGAAATTATAAGACTTAAAGTGAATGGAATACAAATACACACGATTCTGGTATGGTTTACCTTTAAAATTTGATTTGGATAAATCAGGATCTGTCATTGAGTAACTCATTGCAGTGAGTGGCTTCAAAACGATAAAAACGTTATACTAGACAAGTGAAAAGTTAACGTCTTAGGCCTAACATCTGCAAAATAAGAAACAAATAAATACCTTCTAATTTATATTAAAACATCAATTTTGATGAAAATATAATATTGACAATGTTTAGAAGCAAAATTGCTAAACATTTTAAAATTTGGGTTAGATTTCTCAATGTTTTTAATCTGATTTGACTGATAATCTTGTGTTTTTTTATCATGAGGAATAGCGGTAACATGAATTTTTTAGACATCGACATAAACCGAGACAAATTCATATCTGCCATATTTGAAAAAAGAATATGCCATATTGTAAACAACCATCCAAAGACAAATTGACTACAGACATATGGTATGTTCTTGATCTTAGAAAAAAATGAGAACTGCCAAGTGCAAGGTTTAGCTACTGTTTAAATTATATTTCTATTTACAATTCAGGGAACATTCGGGATAACTTTTTTCTCTTTTGCAAACTCTTAGCCAGCCAAGGCTGTGTACAATTTTTTAAGGTTTCAATAGAATATTTGAAATACAAGGTTAAGTGACTAAAAATATATTGTTAACTGAGTAGGTAAGTCTTAGACTTAATTGTAATAGGCTGAATATTACTGATTAGCCTAGACTTAGTAATAGAAATAGACAGTTCAATTATGCTTATGTCATGTCACTTATGTTTTCAGTTTATTGTTAGCAGAATGAACCAAATTCAATTTAATAATAGCCATTTGAATTTCAATCAATGAAACATATTAAATATTTCATCTTTTTCTTGCTGCTATAATTATAATGAAATGAGAATGATTGATGGCATAGATTCATAGATGATAGAGGGCCTGATGTTTGGGTGGTTAAATCATCTCATGACTCATAATGATGAAAATGAAAACAAATTAAAATAATCAGAATCAAAATATTAATACTCATCCATAGTCATAGACATAGATCTAGGCTCCTAATTAGTAAATCATAAAATTTTATATTTATTAGGCTTTCACCTGGCAAATACTAATGCTAGTACTAGTATTTAAATTTCAATTTAACCAAAAATTTTAAAAATATGTTCCTTTAACAAGGATAGATTATACTTAAAGTAGTAAGATGAAAGTGAAACAATGTATTTTTGACAGAAAAAGGTTCATAGCTGGTGCTAACCATCAGTTCTGTTTAACATCTAACCTTAAAAATAAAGCCTATAGTATTATTATTGTCTAATCCTTTCCCAGACTTGTTCATACTCGACCGGCAAAAACTCCTATTCTCGATAGCATTAAAATGTGTTTCCCGTTCTTATTAAACTTAAAATAAGCTATTCAAACTTAAATTTATCAATCTCTAAACAAATCACTTATTCATTTTGAAATCTTTGCAGTACCTTTTAAAGTTGTACCTTTTCTTTCAGATTTTTTCATGTATATTTTTATGAGTAAGGCTCACAAATGAAACTGTTGCTATCAATAACAGAAAATCTTGTTTGCGATATATTTTACCACATTAGTAATCAATCATTTTTGACGTACTGAATAACTTTTATATTTTACTCAAGCGTTTATTTTTTAATTATATATTCCTTTTATATTGATTTATCATTTAAAATATGTTAATATGAAATTGGATTTTAGATAACTTTAACTTATACAATTTTCACGACAATCAAAAACAGGTATTAGACAATTGAAATTTTACCATAGTCCAAGTTCGCGCGTTCCGCTCCAAAAAACTTTTGAACGCAGACAGAAAACCTTAATTGCAAATGCAATTTGAATTTTTTTATTCATCAATTTAAGTGTGCGTTGCTTGAGTTTGAGACGCCTACAGCGTCCTTAATTTCGCTGCCCCTCCAAGATGGCATAATACAATTAACATCAAACATTCTTAGGGCCGTCCATAAAGTACGGCACGCTGTTTTTTTTACCATTCCCCCCCCCCCCCCCTCCCCCCCCA